GAGAGAGAGAGAGAGAGAGAAAGAGAGAAATAGAGAGATCATTCAAATCCAAGACTTATGAGAGAGAGCTATGGTGATGTTCCAAAATAATACCTGTGAGAGTCAAAATTAATTTTTAAGAGGGCATATCCTTCAGGAGGGTTCTGGTAAGTGCCACGCTATGGCATCTTTGAAGTCATCAGTGCAATTAGAAACATATTAGTACTCACCTTAAGTCATTAGTGCAATAAAATTTTTATGAATATATCAAACACTCAACATACCAAATAAAGTGGGAATTATCTGAATATAAATACATTTCACTGTTCATGTAAACCCACATTGCATACATAAAGGTCATACATGAAAAAATAAGTCCTTTACAAAAAAATACTTTACATGCCCATAAATAGGTCACATCCAAGTAAAACCATATTTCATTATAAATGGATTCCCCTATCCATAAATCGGTCATTTACGTGACCCAAAAAATAGGTCCTTTACATTCCCCTGTAATTAGGTCCATAATATGCCCCTATAACAGGTCCTTTACATGCCTCATAAATAGGTCCTTTACATAGCCTCAAAATTATATGACTATTCAATATTCATATAACTCTGAAAGTCAATTACAAAAAAGGGTATTTACATATCTCCAAAATTTCAAAAATTAGTCTATACAAAAAATCCTTTATGCATATGTGCAAATTAAGCCCTGCAAGTCGCCATATCCTCCATTTGAATGCAGTCTCGCAATTTGTCATGTCCTCCATGTAATTGCAACCATTTCATTTGTCATGACCTCAACTCGATTCGAGGTCTTCAATTGCTATGGAAAAGAAAGATGTATTGTCAGTCCAATACTTAAAGCTGAAGATAAATAAAAACTAAAACTAAATAAAGACAGTTATGCTTATTATTTTCAAAAAATAAAGTAGACAAGCACTTACATCCCACGTGTCTTCACCGGACAATTACTCCTGTCATGCCCACTCTTATTGCAAACTTTACACTTACTTTCAGTGGGTAGCCTTTCTTCCGATTGGTTTTTTTGTGTAGAAGCCTCTTGCCCTTTCTCCCATGAAGGTTTTCTCCTTTTAATCCTTGGTCGTCCAACTACTCGTGCACATGGTGGATCAAGTACAAGGGGGGAGGCATCAACTGATCTAATGTAGTCACATATTTCATCTTCAGCGACACTTCAATGAGTGGAGGGTAATGGTGCAATAATATTTGACAATTGCTCTCTTGTTGCATTGACATCCTCAGCTAACTTGCATAAACCCAACTTCACTTTTTCAAATAGATCATCACTTTCTAGTGTTGGTTCTATAATTGTTCTTACAATGTCATAAAGCTCATGATGTTGAATGACCTCGAAAATTTAGATGAAGTCGAACGACTTCCACCACATTTGTCTTTGATCCCCTTCTTCGCCTCCATTGTCCACCGGCTCAAAATGTAGTTAGATGGGATCTTCAATGCATTTCTCATGCTGAACACTTTAAGCGTATGTGAACAAGGGATTCCAACACGCTCAAAGAACTGACATATACATATACACTTAATCCCTAATTCAATGAATGTAACCGTCTGAGGGATAGGCACACCACAAATGTCTTCCACATTATATTTGGCAAATTCTTCATTGCCTTCTATTAATTTGCTAAGGCAAATTGAGGACCTTATCACCTCTTCTTGGAGCTTTCCAAAAACTTTTTGAGGGTACATCTTCGCTGCATGCTCCTCGATAAGAAAGGCAGTCTTTAAAATATGTGTGGATGTATGATCTTTACTGTCTTTCTCTTTTGAACTTCTTGTTTTGCAAGTTTTCAATAGCATTCATGAATTTTGTCAAACTTATTTCAGAAGTTACATACATCTTTAAATAACGATTGAACCCTTCACTTCGTTGTGTGGTTTTCATGCCGGTCGTGAACCTATCAGCTATGTATGCATCAACCCATTGAGTACGACAACCATATAACCAGTTGAGCCAACTTTCCTCTTGAAGATCATATTTGTGAATCATAGTTAACCAATACACTTCTTTAAGAATAATGGGTGCACACGCTCATCATGACTTAGATGCGTTTTAAACTTTCCTATGATGTGCCACTTGCAATAGTGATGATCAGTATTCGAGAAACTGACTTAACTGCAACTGTTTTAATTAAAGCCTGATCAGTGATAATTGTACCTGGTCCACGGCCTCCCATTGCCTCTAGCCAATTCTCAAATAACCAAATGAAAGTTTATGTAGTCTCATTGGAGATGAGAGTGCATCCAAGGAAAATTGTGTTAGCGTGATGATTAACTCCAAGGATTGGGCCAAATGACATACTAAATTCATTTGTTTGGTATGTGGTGTCAAATGTTACCACGTCACTAAAAAATTGGTATGATAATATAGACTGTCAACTCATATAACACTAATCAGCCTCCCCACCTCATCAGGTCGAAATCTATAAAAGAAGGAAGGGTTTAATTCCTTCTTTCTATGCAACCAACTCATAACAACGATACACTCTTTCCCTTTTAATTGTTTTCTTTTTCTAGTTATATGATTCTCAAAATCTTTCTCAATGAAAAGGACATTTTTTGCCTCACCGGCCTCTTCGATAAGGTAATCAATCATAACCCTAGACTTAGCCATAGAAGAGTCCAATGTGTCAATCACATTTTTCACTGTGTTTGGTGTCTTTCGATGAGAGCGAATGAATCTAGTCTTGCTGGACGTTGTGAGCATATGATTATGTTCTTTTACAAACTTCGTTATAACCCATCTCTGCTTCTCATTCTTCTTAATGCGGATCTTTGCATGTCATCTACATTTTGTGTGGGCCCGAACATTTTCACTCCACCATACACTTGACTACGAAAACCTTGCCTACAACATCCTATAATTTGACCCATTTTTCCACCATGTTTCCAAATGGTTCTTCCCTTTCTTATACCAAACCCTACCAATTTTGTGTAATTATTATAATAATCATAAGCTTCACCTTCGTTAATAAATGTCATTCCTACAGCGGGTTTGATATTTACACCTCTTGCAAGGGCTACCTCTGCATCTATAAGTATAGGATCTCCTTCTCCATCTATTGCAACTATATCCTCATCAAAAGGAGAATTATGGCAAGCGTCATCTTACCATAGCCTGAGCAACACACTTGTGCAATGTCGACAAGAGAGGAATGATACGCTGATGTTGAGGCGTCCATGACACACACATAGTATACTTGTTCAGTTTATATGGTCAACAATGAGAAGCAAGTATGAGATATGGCAGAAGAACTTCAGAAAAAAAACAAAAAAAGATATTAGGAATAACCACAAAAAATTGCCTTCTAATGTACATTGAAATCATAATTACAAGTTCAAAGGAAAGAGGACAACATTGCAAAGATTTTCAACAAAAAGTCTAAAAATGAACAATTTCATACCCCTAAAATAAAAAAGGTAAAAATCTAAAAGAAAAAAAAAAAAACGAATTCCATTGGAAGAGGAACATAATAGTACTAGATAGTAATAACAACATCAACTTAGAAATTTTAGTTTAATTAACAACAACTCCATTATGGATGAATGATTTACCCAAAAAAAAATTTTCTTCATGGATTCTATAAATTAGAAAAATATGCTGAAATTAAGATCTCTTAGTACCAGTTGTAACCGCCTACGGTGAAAACATCAAAGTATTCCTTTTTTATGTGAAACCTTGAGAAATTCTTGATCGTCCAAGTAAATAGGGAAATTGGGGGTTCCTCAACAGGTTGGTTCTCGTCGGTGTTAACAGTTTCCCCTTGCACCACTACTACACCTCCAAATAGATAAGCGAAGGTGTAAACAAAACAAACAATAATAGGTAAATCAAGGAACAAAATGTGAAACAAAAATCCATGGGGAAGCAAGACGTGAATAAGCAGGGACTAATGGAACCAATTCCATCCTCCATTAAATTAACGTGAAATCAACAGATTGAGATGATAAATAAGCCTATAAATTTCACAAGGGAAAGATTCAGATAGTTCGAAGGGTTCAAGGTACCTTCCATTGTTTAAGCAATATCGTTGAACTCAGAATGAGGATTTTGTATCTTGCATTGTAAAATAGAGGGCTTCATTCACAAATTCTACTTTGGGATTGTTTTGGACATCAAAGCAAAATATTTGGTGTGTCTTCGTGACAAGGTTCGATTTAAACTATGATAAACTGAAATCACCTAATTTTTTTAAACCAAATCCAAAATTTCATCTGCAATATGTAGCTTTCTCTTCTATTTTCTCAGTGTGATTTCCTTTCTTGTTTTCTCTATGTGTGATTTCATCTCCCATATGATTATAATATATATCATCTCATGAAAGGGAAAGTGATGGAAAGAGAGTGGAACAGTGTCATGTCCTGCCCCCCAACCCCCCTCTCTTTTCTTCTTTTCTCTAAAGAGCATAACCCAACCCAACATATAACATAACCCAATTATGAGAATAAAAAGACTTAGTCATAGCCAAAACTGAGTCGAATTGCTCAAGTTTTTCAGTTTTGGAAAGAACTTGCCGAATTCTAAATGCAAGAGAGAGTGTGTGAGCGTTATCAGCGAGTGTGT